ATAATAATTGACAACCCTACCCTAAGTTTGCCTTGATTTTACCAACTCAAACTCGTTTTAGGAGATCAAAACATAGAGAGAAAGATAGGAGACTATTTTTTATTTAATATGGTTGGATCTTTATTTATTTGTATATTTTTTGTATTTATTTTATTTTATTGATATTTATGTATATTTATCTTTTCATTTTAATTTATATTTATAAAAACCAACCAGATGAGAAACTATACAGATACCCCAATAATAATAATAATAATATTCCACAACTATCACACAACGCCATCTAGTCCCAAGCTAAGCAGAGCTTGTGTTATGGGTACTAGGCAACTGATAAACATACTTATATATTTCTAAATACATAAATATTATAGATAAATTACACCCAGACACAGAACAAATGATCGTGCTCATCACACAAACATATGTCCTGGGTGGGAATCGAACCCACGACCTGCAGCATAGCAGTCAGGGTATAAAATAATAAAATAAAGTCTCTAGCTCGAGAGGAGAGGAGACGTGGTAGCTCAGATGGTTAGCGCTTGCTAAAATTTTCACAGTGTGCGAGCAAACCGGGTTCGATCCCCGCCGGTACCAATAATATTGTAATTGCAATTTTAAGTGTTGATTTACCACGTGCTCAGTGGTGAAGGAAAACATTGTGAGGAAACCTGCATGTCTGAGAAGTAAGAAAAAAAATATTTTGAAGGCATGCAAAGTTCACCAACACGCAGTGATAATTCCTTTCCTAGGACCCTTTCAGAAAATAAAATAAAAATAAAAAAATAATAAATCCAAACTTCATTTAAAACCAAACATATAAATTGTAAAGTAGCTGCAGGTATCTATAACCAAGTAAAAGATATTCCTTTACTCCAACTTGTCCATGTTTCCCAAAACAATTTTTAATTAAGCTTTATATTATAATGCGGATTTTTTATATTTAAAATTTTAATAATAAAGCATTTCGTACGTCTCAGCCGAGGCGCAAATATTTTTCGGCCGCAAATTTATAAGACCGATTTGTTATTCAAACATAAACATGGTTTTTAATTAAATCTACCAATCATAAAACGACACGCATTTTTATTGAACACTTCCTATTCAATTCACAAAGTACCTATTATATATTTGTTTATATAAAAAATTATATTTAAGTACAATCATAAAACTAAATGGAAACACAAAGTAGGAAAATGCATTGAGTTATAAAACACATAAATCAATGGGCAAATGTAAAAATGCTGGAGGCAGGCATCCCTATCGCATGTTTACGTACCGCACGGCTGTAATATTTATTTCTAAGATACGGCCGAGTTACAATATACCGTGACGTAAGCGCATCGGTTGGTAGGTACTCAAATAATATTATGTTTGCGGCGAAATACGGACGCGCGGCGACCAGCGACGCGGCCACCTCGTATGAACGCATACAGCGTAATGCCGCCCGCACTCTGCGCACGCCCCTTTATCATAGAAGTCACACAATTTTCGGAATTATTTCAATTAAAAGAGAAAAAACGAACTTAAAAATTTAAATAAAACGTGGAGAATATAGATTTTTTAATTATCTATCCATTAGTGTTATCCTCAAATGATTAGAGCGTTGCGTTTAGCAACAGATGCATGTAATCAAGAATTTTAGTCATTTTTTAAAAGTTGATTTTAAATGTATTTATAGCACATAAAAATAAATTAGAACGTGGAATGCGATGATAAGATATCGAACATTAATTAATGTACTTTTAGATGTAGTTTATTTTTCATAACTAATGAGATAATAGAGTCTGAAAAACGCACTTTCGCAACATTTTGGTCAGGGATTCACCTTAAGACATAGTGTATCGAAAAATTATTTACGCTTTGGAGCGCTCATAAGTTCAAGGCAAAACAACAAGATTCAGCTTAACAGTTATATTAAAATCTTCACCCTCTATTTTTCCCCCATAGGGGTGGGAGATCACCCCTAAAGTATACCCGTAAAGTGTACCAATTTAATAAAAAAGATACCACTTTAATCGGTTCGAAGAAATCGGTGAACACATAAATAACACACTTGTTTGATGCCTGACTAATAAAACTTAATAAAAATAAAAAATAACAGAGAATTAGGCTTAGATCTTTATATAAAATTGATATAAATGAGGAAACACTTTAAAAATTATTGATTATATATTATTGAGCATATTTATAGTTTTAAAATCAAAACTGGTTAATTGCAGTGAAACTTTTTTGATTTACATTAATTTAATATTCTTTATTGCACACCATAAACAATGTACAAAAAAAATTTTGAAGTGAAACTTCTTTATCAACGTGGTGTACAAAAGTACGGTATTAAAAATAAAAACGTCACGTTTTCTTGTAATGTTTCACCGTTGGGGCTGTGAAAGTTTACACGAAGACGTGATGTCTTACGGCAGTGAACTTATGTAAATTTTATTAAAATATAAAATAAAAGTAGAATGTTATGACATAAAGAGTTATCAATTACACGCACAATTTTATTGTTGTTTAACATCTGCAAATAATAATAAAGGACTCATTCTCTAACCTTAATAAAAAAGGGAATAAGAATCCATAAAATATAGCCATTGAGCTATTATGTACTACGACTAGAGACGACACTGCATTCAGCTACTCTGTTCCACACAACTCGCTAGGCGCTTGTAGAGTTGTCACGTGTTGTGTTGATTTAAAAATCTCTTGATAAAAATATGCCGTCGTGTGTACTTAGATATTGCACAAATAATTCAAGAAATGTCAGTAAAAACCAGGGAATTACTTTTCATCGGTTAATAAGATTCTTAATTAATAAAAAAGTATTATGTGTTAATAATAAAACAAATTATTCCTAAGGCGTTAATCTCGTGTCAGGGAATATAGATTATGAAATTTATATGTTCAGATGCTACATTTTTGTGGGTACTTAAGTATAGGATGAATATATTATGGTACACATTTTTTTTTGTAGAAACATATATAAGTTATTATAATTTGGCAAAATTTTCATGTTTAAATCTGGTTATTATTCTTTTATTTTATTTTTAGGTTTCCACATCAAAGTCAGTGATATAAATTCGTCCATTTTTAACTCTCGCGTGCTCAGTATTTATGAACGACTTTTATTCTAATTTAATAAATATATTAGTAATTTAAGTGTTATGTTAATAAGTTTTGTTAAACATACATTTACTATGTATTTTATTTTTGAAATTTTAAAATATTCGGATAAAAATATCATTAAAATGTAAATGTGATATAATGTCATGTAATATTATATTAAATAAGCAAATATAATATACAAAATAAATGACAAAATTTAAATATTGTTCTCGATATAATTTACCTATTTAACAATACAATCTACTATTACCTACGGGTCATTCTAACTATTTTATTAGATAGCTGTTCTAGTACGTAAGTTACTTATTACTTCAATGAATATAGCAGACCAATTTCCACTTAAAAGTTCGTGAGAAGTTAGAAGTAGCACGTGAGGTGTGACCGACTCCCAGTGCTCAGAATGTGGCAACACTGAGATTCTTATCTCTTCACTCGCAACTCTCACGTACTAGTGACTAATTGCTCTTGTTCAGAGGCCATGAAATTATACCATTTAAATATGTATATATTTTAAAACAATAATCTACAACAATTACTTTTTCTGATGTGAAGTTCTTGCTAAGTAATGGTCGTTTTTTTATACTATACCAGTACAGATTAATTAGTCCGTGGCTAGTGATGTTAAAACAAGTAGTCTGCAGTTTTTTATAAATATAAAACTACGAAAAAAATAATTTTCTAAGTTCACATAATTAACCAAATGTGATATAATATTGTGTACGATTTCCTTGTGTTCTTTTAATTTTTCAGTCATTAATTAAGCTTATTTTTGAAATTTGTTCAAATTATTTATTCGTATATAGCTTAAGAAGAGAGGTCTGCCCAGAAGTTCAGAACTACTGGCCGATGATAAGAAAGATAGCAAGTATAAACAAAACATACCTACTCTTCAGTTTACTTGTCACTCTCATACTGACTGAACATTGGCAGAATTCTGTCAAAAGAAGCCATAAAGCCATAATTTAAAAGAAACTCTTCAGTTTTATAACGAAATTTGAAAAGCTTTCATCTTCAAGATTCCTATAAGTGGGATCACCGACCCACGTGCAAAGCGTGCCATATATGTCAATTAACTCCAATGATTAATTAATATAATAGAAACCCTATTCATAGCAGGGAGCTGTGATGAACTAAAATTATGATGTTGACGTTTTCAAAGTTAATAAAAATGCTAAATGTAATTTATCTAGTAAGATATTAAATTGGATTTATGAACAATTACGTACACTTTTACGACTGGAGCGACGGCAGCCCGGTAAGCGTGACCAATAATTGCCGGCCTCTTGATTTCATCGCTTGTTATTTCATAGTACAGCAATCAACATTTCATCGGTCATTTTCCTACAGATTGCAGTAGAACCTAATGTTTTTTTTATTCTAAGCTGCCTGAGAATCCTCAATTAATTCCCGTCGGATTTCCAACCTATGTTATTTAGTGGAACGAATTTACCATATCTAGACACGCGGTAGCATCAAGCCAAGGTCAGAATGGCGATATATGAAAACTAGCCAAGTCAGATCTTAGGCTACAATATATTATCCTAAGTTACAAGAAGAAACGATATTTTATGTTGTTATAAATACATTTCAGTGCTGACCATTGAACTTGGCACCCATTTAGATCTCACTTCTTTTGTCGTTGAAGTCAACAACCAAGGCATATATCATAATATTGAACTTGGCTCTCATTTCACATTTATGTTTGTGATTGGATTTTATTATCTGCATAGAACTTCAAAATGCGAAACTACTTAAGTATTCTAATTCGTGCTTGGAGGAACGGTTTACGATGCCTTCCTATTTCTGTATGTTATTTCTAAAAATAAAATGGCTACATTTAGTTAAAATTTCCTAAAATATCTTTATTTTAGAAACGTATGCTCGATTCTAGGCATACAAGTTTTGAGGAGAGCGGTGAACAAATGCCTCGAGCTGTATGACGAAACCAATCAACAGCACTAACGAATCCTGTCGGACGTGTACTATTTATGTTTCCTCACAGTCGCACTGTAAATATTTAGCTCTGGACGTGTCTGGTAACGCCCTTGTGTTATCTCTTTATCGACCACGTAAACGACTCAATGGGCAATGGGCATCCCCGATTCATTTGCTGCCGACAACGTACAGGATGCAGATTCGTAAATAATGATGAGAAAATGACACCTAAGGGAGGGCTTGAGAAGTTCCTGCGATTCTAATGTTTATTTGGGTATAGGATGTATATCGGGTAGTCGATGCGCGGCCGCCGCGGTACATTAAAACAGACAGTCGTAAATCGGAGTAGACACATAATATGCCGTATGCGTGTATGGTCTACAGATCGCGCACGCGTGGGCTTCGACAGGTGATGTCAGTCGATTATCTGTTAATTTATACGCACTGCTCAACTTCTGTATTTCTCGTACGGTATTATTCCTTTAGACTCATGGCATCCGAGCTCGCTAAATATACGAGTAGAGGGCTGCAATCCATTCGCCTTCACCTCGAAAATGTGCCCGATTCTTTTATTACTCTTACTTGCTATTACTACTATACTTTTTCGATTAAAATTTCTTATTTGAATGCCATTTGTTGACGACGCTCGCAGGCTCCTATTTAGATCTGTGCTTGTTACCGTTATTAGGTGATGTCACACAATGATACAACACACCATCATTATGAAGGAGTCCGTTTTGGTACCTTTATGACCAACACCTCCACATAATACTGTTCGCAGCAGTTCATTCACCGAGGAATACATGTTTAAGTACGTACCTATATGAAATACTATATATATATATATATATATATATATATATATATATATATATATATATATATATATATATACCTACTTAACAGAGTTATCTTAGACGTCTTTGTACAATCAGCGATTTGACGATTTTAATACCTTAAGCGACAAACGCGTAGATATTATGTATGTTCTACTAGCGCCTAAAAATCAAGAATCATATTGAATATATAATATAAATGATATAAAAACACATTGTCAGAAAGATAAACGATTGTTGAACTTATAATTTTTTTTAAATCGATTAATTGCTATTTTTGGTGGTGGTTTTAGTGGCTCATGGTGTAGAAATTTATCGAGTCCGCATCGAGGGGTGAATACGATAACTTTTGAAAATGTCATTTTGTTCAAATCAATCTCTTTTTAATTTATTATATTTGTAATTTTTATTTTTGCTTTGAAGCAATGTAAATTAGTTCCTTACTCGGTTTGATGCTTTATATGCGTGTAGTGAATGTATGAGGGAACCCACTACCCCAAATCATCTCATGGGCGTTGTAAACAGCGATAGTGAGAAACTGAAACTGGCGACAAGCAGTAGCAGCTTCTTGTCAAGTGTTCTACCTGGTAGTGCCATGCTGCAGCTATATTGTGGTTGTAGCACGAATGGGTCGGATCGATCGAGGAAGGCCCACGCTCGTACAAAATATCAGCGTAAAATAGCAGCTTAATGTTGCTGTATTTTATATAGTGAGTATAGAGAAACGGTGACTCTTTTTCCTGGAAACGAGGCATTTCATCTTTTCCCTCAGGGATGACAACCCATCTGCATTTTGATTTTTAATCTAAGACAACTGTAAATGTCTTTGTGCCACAGCATCCACTTACCACAGGTATATTTGTTTGTCACTCTTATACTGTTAAAAGACACGAAAATGATAAAGATGACCGAATTTTCTCAAAGGTTAAAAATTATCCTAAATATGTATAAAGACAGGTAGAAGCTTACTTTGTATTCATCAATGGTTCTTGAAAACAAAAACGGCCTACCTATGACATCATATAAAACTGAATGAAGACTTCTTAACCATATAAGATTCAAGGTTAAAAGTATGGCGCATATATAACCTGAATATTATCTCGTAGATATATTAATTTTATATGAAAAAATCCTTGTAGGTGAACTTTTACTATCAAGCACCCACTAAAATTTTTATTCTAATTAATATTAACAATACTGGCCTTAAGTAATATTAAAGATTTAAAAAGCCCCACACATTGATCAATAGCTGTGTTGATCCTAATGAGAATACTAGGTCACAGTCATGGAGTTATTGTATTTGCATCAGTTCTTGTGACTCATTCCGTCTGCTAGCTATAAATACGGACGAACGGATGAACAGGCAGACGGTCACGCGAAGAGACTGTCTGACGGACGGACAGGCGGACGAACAGATGAACAGGCAGACGGTCACGCGAACAGACTGTCTAACGGACGGACAGGCGGACGAACGGATGAACAGGCAGACGGTCACGCGAGCAGACTGTCTGACGGACGGACAGGTGGACGAACGGATGAACAGGCAGACGGTCACGCAAACAGACTGTCAGACGGACGGACAAGCGAACGAACGGATGAACAGGCAGACGGTCACGCGAACAGACTGCCTGACGGACGGACAGGCGGACGAACGGATGAACAGGCAGACGGTCACGCGAACAGACTGCCTGACGGACGGATAGGCGGACGAACGGATGAACAGGCAGACGGTCACGCGAACAGACTGTCTGACAGACGGAGAGGCGGACGAACGGATGAACAGGCAGACGGTCACGCGAACAGACTGTCTGACGGACGGACAGGCGGACGAACGGAGGAACAGGCAGACGGTCACGTGAACAGACTGTCTGACGGACGGACAGGCGGACGAACGGATGAACAGGCAGACGGTCACGCGAACAGACTGCCTGACAGACGGATAGGCGGACGAACGGATGAACAGGCAGTTGGTCACGCGAACAGACTGTCTGACGGACGGAGAGGCGGACGAACGGATGAACAGGCAGACGGTCACGCGAGCAGGCTGTCTGACGGACGGACAGGTGGACGAACGGATGAACAGGCAGACGGTCACGCGAGCAGACTGTCTGACGGACGGACAAGCGAACGAACGGATGAACAGGCAGACGGTCACGCGAACAGACTGTCTGACGGACGGACAGGCGGACGAACGGATGAACAGGCAGACGGTCACGCGAACAGACTGCCTGACGGACGGATAGGCGGACGAACGGATGAACAGGCAGACGGTCACGCGAACAGACTGTCTGACGGACGGACAGGCGGACGAACGGATGAACAGGCAGACGGTCACGCGAACAGACTGTCTGACGGACGGACAGGCGGACGAACGTATAAACAGGCAGACGGTCACGCGAACAGACTGTCTGACGGACGGACAGGCGGACGAACGGATGAACAGGCAGACGGTCACGCGAACAGACTGTCTGACGGACGGACAGGCGGACGAACGGATGAACAGGCAGACGGTCACGCGAACAGACTGCCTGACGGACGGATAGGCGGACGAACGGATGAACAGGCAGACGGTCACGCGAACAGACTGTCTGACGGACGGATAGGCGGACGAACGGATGAACAGGCAGACGGTCACGCGAACAGACTGTCTGACGGACGGACAGGCGACGAACGGATGAACAGGCAGACGGTCACGCGAACAGACTGTCTGACGGACGGACAGGCGGACGAACGGATGAACAGGCAGACGGTCACGCGAACAGACTGCCTGACGAACGGATAGGCGGACGAACGGATGAACAGGCAGACGGTCACGCGAACAGACTGTCTGACGAACGGACAGGCGGACGAACGGATGAACAGGCAGACGGTCACGCGAACAGACTGCCTGACGGACGGATAGGCGGACGAACGGATGAACAGGCAGACGGTCACGCGAACAGACTGTCTGACGGACAGACAGGCGGACGAACGGATGAACAGGCAGACGGTCACGCGAACAGACTGTCTGACGGACGGACAGGCGGACGAACGGATGAACAGGCAGACGGTCACGCGAACAGACTGCCTGACGGACGGACAGGCGGACGAACGGATGAACAGGCAGACGGTCACGCGAACAGACTGTCTGACGGACGGACAGGCGGACGAACGGATGAACAGGCAGACGGTCACGCGAACAGACTGTCTGACGGACGGACAGGCGGACGAACGGATGAACAGGCAGACGGTCACGCGAACAGACTGCCTGACGGACGGATAGGCGGACGAACGGATGAACAGGCAGACGGTCACGCGAACAGACTGTCTGACGGACGGACAGGCGGACGAACGGATGAACAGGCAGACGGTCACGCGAACAGACTGTCTGACGGACGGATAGGCGGACGAACGGATGACCAGGCAGACGGTCACGCGAGCAGACTGTCTGACGGACGGACAGGCCAACGAACGGATGAACAGGCAGACGGTCACGCGAACAGACTGTCTGACGGACGGACAGGCGGACGAACGGATGAACAGGCAGACGGTCACGCGAACAGACTGCCTGACGGACGGACAGGCGGACGAACGGATGAACAGGCAGACAGACAGACAGACAAATAGACATGACAAACAGATAGGCGTCTGCCGACAAACAACAAAGTGACATTATTATGAAGCAATCAATGGGTAAGGTAGCAGTTTACTTTTGATATGCTGTAATGATGACGATGATGAGAATGGGGACATACTACCCCACGACATAATCGACTTTTATGCCAAGATTCACTTGAATACTCCGAGTCGTTCAAGCGTCGTTGAAGCACAGTTTTAAATCAAATCTAAATCATTTATTTCGCTAAAACGTGGGTACAGACGGATGAATACAGAGTCAATATTTGTTTCAACATATTTTGCCTTTTGTGGTATGCGAAAAAATTGTTCAAAATAAATATGTTCAAAACAAGTAAATGATATCAAAATTAAAACAAATAAAGTTAGAATTAAACACTGTAATAATTATATTTATGTTTTTAAGTAAACATAACATAATCAGAAAAATTTATTTTTGTTCATTTGAGAAGAATCACGCAAAATCCTGGATCTACATCATCCTGATACACATTATAAGACAATTCCTGTGGAATACTGTAGTTTTACAAAATGGCATGAGTAGACGTGTCGGATCTCTTTTTGTTACAGATTTATTATTTTCCTGCACGGTAAGAAATTGATTTGAATTATTTTTAACGAAAACACAGATTTCTAATATATATAACCCAGTTAAAGTGAGAATACCTTTTTCGTTAAACAGGGGTCTACAGCTTTCAAGAGGGCCTCCATTACACAGTGCACGAATACATTTCTTCTGGCTTAAGAAGATTTTGTTTGCGTCAGCTGAGTTGCCCCACAAGAGTAGTCCATATCTGACGGATTCAACGTACACGTAGTAAGCAACACGCGCTGCTTGTGGACTTGCTACGTTTTGAAATCTACGTAGTGTATAAACAAATTCATTGATTTTTTTGCATACTTTTTTTACGTGTAATTTCCATTTTACATGCTGGTCAATAGTAACACCTAAGAATTGTGTATCTACCACCTCTACCAATCTATCGACCTTATATCTTAAGTCCAATTTTTGTGGTTTTGTTTTATAATTTCCAAATTGAATATATTATTTAGTTCTGTTAGTGTTGACTCGTAAATTATTATCTTCTAGCCATGATATAACTGACTCCATACTATAATTTATTGTTTGTTCATATATCTGTGACTTATTAGTGTGGGGTATAACAATTGATATGTCATCAGCAAATAGTATTGACTGATTATTTGTTATACTCGGCAAGTCATTTATATATAGAATGAACAAAAAATATTTTCACTTTGATTTTTTTTAGCCAAGCCGCCCGATTCCATTTCTCAGACGGGGGTGGAGACAAAACTATTGGTGATCAGGTTCAGGTACCATTCAAGCTGCCCGATGCCATTGTCCTAGTTGTTGTAGATAAACCTAAATACCAGTTAAAATTGGCACATCCTCCAGAGTCGAGTTTTCAAAACTGTGATGACGGCGCTGTCTTAAAGAGATTATACTATCGGTGATCACGTTATTGAGACGTGGGGTTCCCCTAATTATTCAGGTCAAATCACCTGATAAAATGCTGAAGGAATAATCGTAAGTTGTATGAAAAAAAGAAAAGAGTTTTTGGAGATGGCCACTCATTTAAAGACGAGCTTCCTGGGAGAACGTATTACAGAAGATTGAATTTCCCAAATTTGTAAAAAAAGTTTACTTCACCATTCCTAAATTGGATAACCAGTGGTCGTGGTCAAATAAACACGTTTTTTCACGCCTAATGTTTCCTAATAAACACATTTTTTTTTCATACGTACTTCTTTATTTTGGGTACAAATTAACAACCCTAGGCAATGCAAAACAACTTCAAACTGGTACCAAACTTTGCCTGCGTCTTTTTTTTTTTTTCAAAAATTAACTCTACACCAGTGACTAGTAAGTTTAGATGTTATTCAATAATTTTGTCGATAACACGTATAAAGAATTAGGTATCTAAATCATTGAGAAATACAAGGCAGGCGAAGATAGGAAACAATGCCTAAATTTCGCCTACTATATTTGCATCGTTTTTTAATTTGTCTAAGTTAACTATTATTAAGTTTCGATGGCTTTAGCTGTAATCTTAGATAAGAAGAAACTGTTTTATTAAGTGTGATCTAATATACTCCACAATTTGAGAGCAAGGTAGAAAAATGTGTAAAAAAAAAACATGCGCAGGCAAGTGTCACGACGGTACATATTTCAATGATTCATTCATTTTCATCATTAATTCTTCTCATTTCTGTTTTGGGGCGAGGAAGTATGGCGTTTACATGTGTTATTAAAAAGTGTTTTTTAATTGTCGTACAGCATGTCTGAGAAATAAAATTTTTGAGAATCTGCCAACTCTTATTGGAGGAGTGTGGTGGACTCACAATCATAGGTCTATCGATATTAACCCTGTTACAAATGAGGAGGAGAAGTTATATGGGCGGTAACTTTACTATTTTCCGCTGACTTTACTTATAGATTAAAAAAGCATTTCGAACAGATTGTAAACTTAACATTGCTAATTTTTTTTTATAGAATAGGGTGACAAACGAGCACACATTCCACCTGATGGTAAGTAGTTGCTGCGGCCCATAGACATCTGCCTGCATTATTCATCTATCCTCGATTACGAATCAAAATGCAGATGCGTTGTCACCCGTGAGGACTAAGATGGAATGCCTCATTTCCAGTAAAAAGGGTCTCCGGTTCACGGCTCACCATACGAAACACAGCAGCGTTAGGCTACTATTTTACGCTGATGTTCCCCGGTCGAGCCGACGCATTCGTGCTACAACTATACTACTAATATAACTGCAATATGGCTCTACCACGTATAAAATGTTGTTGTATGGAGTTTTAAATAGAAATTTTCGTGCGTATATAGCAAACTAAAATGGAGGCTTGTGAACACGTTGCGCGTGAAATTACTGTAAATTTGCGTCCGTGTGGTCTCTTAAAAAACATGTGAAGATTACACAAATCATCAACCCCTGGTCGCGATTCGTCACGGAACCTCCGAGGGCCATCATCATTTGTCCCTCCATTTCATTATCCATGAAGGGATGCCGTACTTTTTTATCTCATTCTAATTTAAAAACTCAACCAAAAATAACACCTAAACCATCAGAAACTCGCTTACATCGCTTTTATAAAATTACAATTCGCAGTGTAAATGCAACATTTTAGCAACACGTTTCCTTGGCGCCATTTTTAATAGTTTTATAAATTAAAACTAAATGTTATTGTTTTATTTGAGCGATAATATCTCTGAGGATAACTTATAAATGATTGTTGTCAATGATAGCTTTAAAAAAAGTCAAACTGCGAATGTCTGAACGCCTTAAATACTCAAAGCATTGTCCTTTGAAAGACAATAGGCGATATTAAGTAATTACCGATCTTTGGGATCGATATCAAAGTTAATATTTTTGTTTCAGGCAAATGATATCTTTATTTATTTTATATTGTTGTTATAAAATGTTTAATTATATTTTATAAAAGAAATCAGCTTTCATATTATTATTACTAAAACTAAAAACTTTTTAATTCGAGATGAGGTTGTCAGTCACAGGTTTTTTTTTTCAATCTGAAACCCAAACGTCGATACCGCTTATGGACACGACGAAGGTTCGGCGGGCGCCAAGATCGCAACGATATCGTCGCTAGAACAGTAATCGTCAATAAAATCTCAATTTAGATGGTACTGATACCAGGTGAGTTACGGACGGACAGTCCGACGGAACACGAAAACCTACTTGACGGTGGAATGCACCCCGCGACAGGATCCGCTAACGAATTAGGTACTTCAAATTGGGTGTTACGAATACATACATCATTTTTATTTCATTTTTCTAATTTGTGGCTAATGAACCAAAAAGCTTTTTTCGAAGATGAATAAAAAACAAGCTTTTAATATTTGAGACAAAATATTAAATAATAAAGGCTAAGTGGTATTTATAGGAAAGTGTAACCGCTTGCTACCCTTGTCTGAAATTTATCAGTATTTCATAATTTAAGGTATGTTGTTCTGTAAGTAAAATTGGAATTATAAAATTCTGTATTTACAATTTAACAAACCGTAAAGTAACGGCGTATTCAACTGGTTAAAAAGGCAACATGATTATCCTTCACGAGCCATTTTTTTCTAGCTATTAAGTACCTACGTTATTTTAATTCCCTGTAGTATTGGCATATGCTACTGGGTTTTTAGTCGCAAAGCATCACGATATGTACATTGCCAACTTAATTGCTATTGTATATATACACACATGTACATACACACACTCTCACACACACACACACACACACACACACACGCACACGCACACACACACGCACGCGCACACGCACACGCACACGCACACGCACACGCACACGCACACGAACACGAACACGCACACGCACACGCACACGCACACGCACACGCACACGCACACGCACACGCACACCCACACGCACACGCACACGCACACGCACACGCACACGCACACGCACACGCCACACGCACACGCACACGCACACGCACACGCACACGCACACGCACAAGCACAAGCACAAGCACAAGCACAAGCACAAGCACATGCACACGCACACGCATCTTTGGGGAAAGATCTTTGTTATTCGATGAGTTTAGCAATACCCTTGCGGCTTTTACCACTTTTACAAGGAGTGGTAAGATTCCTTTTATGCCTATGAGTGCGCCTGTGTTGATACCACCCGCTTAGCTACTTCTGCCGTCTAAAGGGTATAGACTATAGAGAGCCAGTACGAGTACGGTGACGGTGCTCGTATAATTACAAGCACGTGCAATGTGAGGCTTTTCATCTTAAACCTTAGAGGAGTCCGCAGAGGAAACAACGCATCTGAAGCATTCTTTGTGTGAAGTTGGCTGCAAGTGTCCATGGACCGTAGTGTATTAGATATAGAAATGATAATAGATAAACATTTTGTTACCGTTGATCTTTGTCTGCATACTGAAATGTGTTAATTACATAAGAACGTGATAATTTAA